CGTGGCCACACCAGGAGTATCAACTGGGCCGAGTTCAACTGGCCTCCTTCTGGGTAGGAGCCGTCAATTTCACTGGAGTCAACCTTTACGCTTGGCCCCGCTCGCCTACGTGGCCATCCTCGAAAGAGTGGACCAACGACTTGTTGGACCACATCACCCAGCAGGTGGTCCTTGGCCGTTCTGGTCCCCGTTTTGTCTCTGGGGACTTCAATCACCCCTCGGAGCTCCTTCCTGATCTAGAACTTTGGCATCAACAAGGATGGCGTGAACTACAGGACCTGGCACAGGCCCGCTGGAACCTACCTCCTCGTCCTACTTTCAATGGCACGTCTTGCATCGACAAGATCTTTGTCAGCCCCGAGTTGGCGGCCATGCTCTCCCACGTGGATCTTGCCTGGGAGGGTGCGGGACATGCTCCCCTTTTCGGCACCTTTGAGATCCCTGACCTATCTCATCGTGCCCTCGCCTGGCCCAAACCGGGCCTACTGCCCTGGGACTCCTTCAACGTGGAGGAATGGCAGCACTCCAACCAAGAGAAGCCAGCACTACCGCACTCGACTGACCTCACCTCAGCCTACCAGCACTTTGGCAATGCCTTTGAGGAGAGTATCACTCCTCATCTGGATGGCTCCCTTTCTTCACTACCGAACTGCTGCCGTGGTCGTGGAGCTCGGCTTGATCCAGAAGACCGTGCTGTTTCTGCTCCTCTTCCCCGCCCTGGGCGTCCTGGAGATCCTCAACTTGTCAGCGACTTTGTGAGTCGCGCTATCATCCACTGGTACCAGCAGATGAAACGCCTACAGCACCTATGCCATGCCACCAAGGGCAACAAGAGCCATCCTGAAGCTGTTCTACATCGTTCAGATACCTGGCGAGCAATCTTGCGTGCCAGGGGATTTCAGGATGGTTTCTCTACATGGTGGTCTTCTCGATCCGTGAAGTTGCAAGGTTCTCCACTCCACCTTCCGGTACAACCCCCGGCCATTGATGTTCTGCTGCTGGTCAAAGATGACTTTGAGGCCAACTTCAGGCAGTTCGAGTCCTGGAATATTCGTTTTTTTTTTTTAGGCGCTCCAGCTTTCCCTGCAACAACATCGGCGACGGCTCTTTCAGTCGGTCAAAGCCCCCTCGCCAGGCCCTCCGCAATCGCTTCAGAAGACTGTCTCGACCACCATCCTTGCAGTCAGTGATGATGGCACGGAGATCCATACTGAACACGACCTCGCTGCCTACGACCACGTCCAATGGACCATTGCGGACAGCCCGGCAGAAATCACCCTGCTCGCTCCCAACCATCTCAAAGTGGAGTCGGATTGCCTCCTCTTCCCGGGTCAGGAAATTCAGGCGTCCATCGAGCTCGTGACCCCCAAGGACGTCTTTGCGGAGCTCAACAACTTCTGGTCCAAGCGCTGGGCTAAGATCACCTGCATTCCCGACAGCACCTGGAGACGCATCACGGCCTTCTCGCGAGCCTTTCTGCCCAGCAAACCCTTACAGCTGGAAGACCTTACTGCGGTGTCCCTTGGCCGGAAGCGCTTTCATGACCGCTCGGCTCGAGGCCCTGATGGATATGATCGCCTTGACCTGCAACGAATGCGTCCTGGCTTCCAGGCTGCCCTCCTTGACCTCGTGAACCAAATAGAGCGGACGCACTCCTGGCCCCGTCAACTCACGGAAGGCCACGCCATTGGCATTCCCAAGGTTGAAGATGCACGGACGGCTGATGCCCTTCGGCCGATCGTGGTCACTTCGGTTGTCCACAGATGTTGGAGCTCTATACGTGCCCGTCAAGTGCTTCGACATCTTGAACACATGGCTACCTTCTTTGCCATAGGCTTTCTCCCGGATCGGGAGGCGGGTGAGCTCTGGATGATGACCCAAGCCCTCATTGAGAGCAGCCTCATCACGGATGCTGACCTCATTGGCCACAACACGGACATCTCCAAGGCCTTTGACTGCCTCCCTAGGCCCTTGACCACTTCACTTCTTCGACACTTTGGACTACCTGACCGACTTGTTTCCACGTGGCACAACTGGCTCCGTGGCCTCCGCCGCCGGTGGACGTGGTTTTCCCACATTGGCATGGGTATCACCTCTACCACGGGCTACCCACAAGGCTGTGCCTTGAGCTGCACTGGTATGTTGGCCATTGACCTTGCCTACCACTTCTACATGATCCACTATGCGCCTCGTACCATTGCAACCTCGTTTGTGGACAACTACAGCCTGCTTGCCAACTCCGTGGGAGACCTGGTACATGGCCTGGTGGTACAGAGCTGCTTCTTTGAACTCTGGCAGCTAGATCAAGATCTTGACAAGACCTACTGTTGGGCCCTTGCCTCCACTAGCAGGCGGCGCCTAGTCAAATTTGGTCAAGCAATTCGCACTCATGCTCGAGATCTTGGTGGCAACATGACCTACCAACGCAAGCGGCTCACTTCCCTGTTGTTGGATACAATACGATCGCTGGAACCACATTGGCTACGCCTTCGTAGGCTACAGGCTGCAGAACCTCTAAAGTCTCAGGTCATCGTCCAGGCGCTATGGCCCAAGATCTTCCACGCCCCGGGAATCAACTCCTGCCCGGGCACGGTCATTCAGAAGCTCCGGACCACGGCTGCTAGGGCGCTCGGTCATGAAAAAGCTGGTGCACAGCCCCTGATCCGGCTGTCCCTATTGGGTTCAACCCCTGTGTGTGACCCTGGCCTTTTTCGACTCTGGGCCATCTTCCGTGACTTTCGACGACTTTCCTTCAAGCAGCCGCTCCTCCTTGAGCTTTGGCAACAATTTATGCAGCAGTTCACTGGCGTCTTTCACCCAGGCCCGTTCGCCCTGTTAGAGCAGTTTGACCTCCTGTCCTGGCGTATCCTGGAACCACCTTACATCGAGGACCACGATGTCTTGATCCATGATTTCTTGGAGCTCGATGAAGCCACCCTTTGGCAGCGGACCCAAGATGCGTGGCACCAACATATTGCCAGGTCGGTTGCCCATCGCAAGGACTTTGAGGGCCTCCATGGCCTTGATTGGGCTTGCAATAAGGCCGTGCTGCGGGGCCGCTCTCCTTTGGATCGTGCTCGTCTGAACTCGCTCATCGAGGGGGCGTTCATCACGGGCCAGATCCAGGCCAAGTTTGACACTTCACAAACTGGACTCTGCGCCTGCTGCCAACTCCCAGACACCGTGGAGCACCGATGTACGGCTTGCCCTGGGCTTCATCATGTTCATGACCTTCACGAATATGCGGTGCGGCAATGGCCCCGCCTTCCGCGTTGCCTCACTCATCATCTTTGCCTACCACGCAATCCACATCATGGTGCTCTCCTTCATGCTCATGCTGACCCACATCCACGATACCATCTTGTGGAACCGTGTGAGGTTCCTGATTCCATTGATGTGTTTACGGACGGGTCATGCTTTCGGCCTGAACATCCTCTTCTGGCTCTTGCTGGTTGGGCAGCAATCACATCTCATGATGGCCGCCTTATTTCTCATGGTCCACTTGCGGGACACCACCAATCCATTTCCCGAGCCGAGATCACGGCGATCGTTGCCACACTGCACTGGGTTGTTGAATTTGCTAACAGTAGCAACCTCACCATCTGGTCGGATTCAGCTTTTGCCGCGACCCAATTTCAGGAGCTTCTTCTCCAGCAGGAACTTCGCCCTGATGTTGTACACAGGGATCTTTGGCAGGATGTTCTACCTCTGCTTCGTCTTCGTTTAGGCAGCACTGGAATACAGCACATTTCTGCACATGGAGATCTCAGGAACAGCACTGGCCCCCTGCAGGACTGGACCATTCAGTGGAATGCCCGTGCAGATCACTTTGCAAAGCAAGCAGCCTGGACGCGCTCCTGGAGCTTTTTGCAGGTTTACGATCTGTATTTGCAGCATGAAGCGCAGGCTCTTATAGATTTGGATGCTGTGGCCTCACTTCACCTTGCGATTGCCCCTTCCGGCCTCCTTGGAGAACCCTGAGCCCCTTGATGGCGTTCCTTCTTTGCCTCCAACGGTTTGGAAAGCTGGTGAGTATTTGCTTCACCTACGATTGCAAGTTTTGAGCCGAACTTTGTTGTGACCCTCCTTGAGTGGCTGTTCTCTGTTGACAGCTCTGAAGCTGGGCTCATTGAATTCAGCTGGCTTGAGTTGGCATGCCTTGTCCACAAACAGGGCATTGCTTGCTTTCCGGTGCCTGCCAAGAGTTCTGCTGCGGTCTGGCAGACTTCTAGCGACACCAGATCGCATGGGGCAACTTTGGCCAACAATGTGCAGTTGCTTAGGTCGATCTTTCGGGCCTTGGCAACGCTTTTTCAGGTTGATCTGCCTGAGGCAACGATTAGGAACCTCCAGGCGTGTCACGTCTTCATGCCCTTGAAGGGCACGCAGCTCAGACTCCCCACCAGTCTGGTACAGGAGACCCGGTTGGAGTTGCAGCTCTTTGCCTCGACTCGGCCCTTTCGCTCATCGAATGACTTGAGCCGGCCGTTCTGAAGAGACAGGACTAGCGCGCTGCACCGCCTTGGCTGTGCACGCGCACCGCACGCCGTGAATGAATGTCCTTCCGTTGGTCCTGTCCTTCAACTCTTGCCGACCCCATGGCCCGCCCCGTCGTTCCCGTTGCTGCTTTTGGGCCCCTACTTTGGAAGTCTTGGAAAGATGTGTGTAGGATGATTTTGTGGCATGTCCTTACTGCGTGTGGGGAATGCCTCCTGTGGATTGTTTTTGGAGGATGTTTGTGGTCTTGGGTGATGTCTTCGGGCAAGACTTTCAGATTCGGGGAGGATGCCTTTCGGGAACGTCTTTGGGAGTGTCCATGCGGGTGTTGTCCAACTCCCGGCAGGCGGTTTTGCAACTCGTGTGTTTCTAACTCCGGTGTTCGAACTCCACGGACCCTCTACAGATCTTTACAGACTTGGTGACCACGGCCACTCTTCAGTACTTAACCTTACTCCCACCACACCTAATTTATCTCAGATTTTTTGTAAAAGCCGTGGCAGGAGAGGCGGATGAGATTGCGGAGGTCTCGAGATCTGCAGTGGCAGCTTGCGACCTGCGCGTCGCAAATTTTGAGCTACTTGATGCTAGACCAGTGATGGTAAGTCTGCGAAATCACGCGGCTGAAGAGTTATGGGTAGCTTCTGAGGCATGCTCTGTGAAAACTTGAGCCATGAACACTAGTCAATTTTAGAGGTGTCCAAAGCAAGAGATTCCAGGACTGCAGTCAGAAGTCGGCGAAAAAGATTCGCTTGCCCATGCAGAATTCTGCTTTGAGACGCTTTTGAGGTTGTCTCAAGCGCGGAGGCAGTTTGTCCGCCTGTCCAGGACCCCGAATAAGTTTGCTGCATCCGCACATTGCTCGCCTCAACCTTGGAAAGTGTGAAGCTTTCTCATTCCAGAGTTTAGGGGTTTGATGCGCAACGTTGTTGCAAACAAAGCATGTGCAGCATTTCCATGAATTCCGCAACGCACACGCCCTTGCCGATGATGTGCGCCCTGCTATTGTTTTGCGACGTGATACTTGAGGACCTCACCAAAGAGGTTAGGTTGTTGTGTCAGTTCTCTCATGAGCCGCTTTTGAGGTAGTCTCAAGTGCGGAGGCGGTTGGGCAGCGTCCGCCTGTCCAGGACCCAATATCAGTTAATCAGTTTGCTGCATCCACACATTGCTCGCCTCAACTTTCGAAAGCGGAGCTTTCTCATTCCAAAGTTCTGGCATTACTGGCATTTGATGTGGAACGCTGTTACAAACGGAGCATGCGCAGCATTTGCATGAATTCCGGGAATTGGCGTGCTTTGCGTTCGTGAACGCGCACGGCCTGGCCCATGATGTGCCGGTATGGGACGGCTGTTGCCGATTGCCCAGGGTATGATTCGTTCTGTTCAGAGTGCCTTCAGGCTGAGATTAGCTCAGCCCAGCTCCTACATTTGCACTAGCCCGGCCTGTGGTGTTGGCCTTTGCAAATGGTTCAGGCACAGCAATTGCATGAGTTCCGTCATGTCGCGTACCCCAGTCCACATTGCACCTGATGAGTCCGATGCACTTTGCTGATTGCTGTGATTGCCTCGAATGTCCAACGCGCTGCCCAAGATGGAAGTAGTTTGGCAAAGGCACCACTGTTGGAGTCTTCCGTTTGAGCAGAAAACCACGATGCTCCGCACCAGAAAGCTCACGGTAGTGACCCTACGGAGATGCATTTCATGTGGGTCCCAGCTGAAGTGCCCGGCAAGCATGGATCGCATAGGTTTGAGTTGGCGCCACGCTTTTGAGGTTGTGTCAATCGCGGGAGCAATTGGGCATCGTCCGCTTGGTCAGGACCTCAAATCACTGTTCTGCATCCGCACATTGATTGCCTCAGCTTTGGAAAGCGTGAAGCTTTCTCATTCGAAAGTTCATTGTTGTCATAACTACGAATGTCCAACGCGCTGCCCAAGATGGAAGTAGTTTGGCAAAGGCACCACTGTTGGAGTCTTCCGTTTGAGCAGAAAACCACGATGCTCCGCACCAGAAAGCTTACGACCCTACGCAGACTCATTTCGTGTGGGCGCCAATTGAAGTGCCCAGCAAGGATGAATGCCATTGGTTTGAATTGGCGCCATTCGCGTGTAGGCTGCATTTCAGTGCCAGTTTGCATCCAGCAGCGTCCTGCTATTGTTTTGCGATGCGATACTTGAGGACCTCACCAAAGAGGTCAGGTTGTTGTGTCAGTTCTCTCATGAGCCGCTTTTGAGGTTGTCTCAAGAGCGGAGGCGGTTGGGCAGCGTCCGCCTGTCCAGGACCCCAAATCAGTTAATCAGTTTGCTGCATCCACACATTGCTCGCCTCAACTTTCGAAAGCGGAGCTTTCTCATTCCAAAGTTCTGGCATTACTGGCATTTGATGTGGAATGCTGTTACAAACGGAGCATGCGCCGCATTTGCATGAATTCCGGGAATTGGCGTGCTTTGCGTTCGTGAACGCGCACGGCCTGGCCCATGATGTGCCGGTATGGGACGGCTGTTGCCGATTGCCCAGGGTACGATTCGTTCTGTTCAGAGTGCCTTCAGGCTGAGATTAGCTCAGCCCAGCTCCTACGCCTACATTTGCACTAGCCCGGCCTGTGGTGTTGGCCTTTGCAAATGGTTCAGGCACAGCAATTGCATGAGTTCCGTCATGTCGCGTACACCAGTCCACATTGCACCTGATGAGTCCGATGCACTTTGCTGATTGCTGTGATTGCCTCGAATGTCCAACGCGCTGCCCAAGATGGAAGTAGTTTGGCAAAGGCACCACTGTTGGAGTCTTCCGTTTGAGCAGAGAACCACGGTAGTGACCCTACGCAGATGCATTTTATGTGGACCTCAGTTGAAGTGCCCAGCAAGGATGGATCTCATAGGTTTGAGTTGGCGCCATCCGCGTGTAGGCTGCATTTCAGTGCCAGTTTGCATCGATCAGCGTCCTGCTATTGTTTTGCGACGTGATACTTGAGCACCTCGCCAAAGAGGTCAAGTTGTTGCTGCAGTTCTCTCATGAGCCGCTTTTGAGGTTGTCTCAAGTGCGGAGGCGGTTGGGCATCGTCCACCTCTCCAGGACCCCAATTCAGTTTGCTGCGTCTGCACGTTTCTCGCCTCAACATGATGTTACGTTGTTTTCTGTAATTGTTGCCACTCAATTGGCACTGCAAAGGTACGGAAGTTGTTTTGTGGAAATGCGGGCCGGGGAAGCTTCGCGGATGGGGAATTTCACACTTTACACGCAGTCAGCCACGGCAAGCACGAAGCAAGCAGCTACTTCACCATGCCAAGCAACGTTGGTGTAGGATTGGTTCGGGTGGGTGTGTGTGTGTGTGTTTGTGAACTCGTGAACGCGAGCAAACCAAACAGAATTCGAAGCACTTTGCGTTTCTGCAAGGAGCACGGAATTTCCTTCCCATGCCTATTGGCAAACGACCAACTTAACTTTTACGCTTTCCGCGCGACAGCCGCTGCAGCAGCACTTACCATTTGAGCAATGAGGAAACTGTCACGGAGCTGACTGCGGAAGCTCGAGCCACTTTTTGAAGACTTGCGCGGGGCCGCGGCTGCCGCCCGTACAGCTCGACGGAAGCCTGAATTTTATATGCAACTAAGAGGCCACAAGCACACGGCTCACATCGTGCCTGAGGAGTCCGATGTGCTTTGCTGAGTGTGGTCCCGTCGGTTTGCATTGCGCAAGCATGCAGGCATCACGTGAAGTGACACAATCTTCAGTGCTTGGGAACAGAGCATGCAGCCAATGGCCGCAATGGCGCTTGTGTTGGCGCGCTGCTTGCGATTGCCTCATGATGTTGTGGCGTGGCGCATCAACTGTCAGCACTTGTTCAGCGAGCTGGCGAAGTCTTCACGCGCGTCCTTGCTACATAGCGACTGGGATAACTTCGCATGTTGAGCCATAAAATTTGTCAGGATCTTAAGGTGACACAGTATGTTGCGTTAAACTACAGACATAGCGAGATGCTGACCGTGATGAGTCATTAGGCTTTGGTTCAGCAAGCACTTTGGGTTGCTCCTCTCTCCGAGATTCCAACGTGGAGACCCAACTTGACTGCCTTAGGCGTATCCGGGCAAGTTGATGTGGATCTAGCTGAGAAGTTTAGATAAAATTGACCAACAAAAACTCGGTGTCAAGGCCGGGAAAGCACCTGGGCTTCCCAGACCGAGGCAACTGACTGTGGGCAGTTGAAGCAGACTTGAGCACTTCTCGTGCGCAAACGTGCGCAATGCGCTTTGCGCAGCCCTCCGACTTGAAGTGCCTCGCTTTGATGTGATGCGGCTGCTTTACTCGGCGTTACCGTGCTGCGAGATCGACCGATTGGAGCCGATCAGGCGAACTGGTTCCGACCTGAGCTCGCCCCTGATTGGTGAGAGTGCAACAAAAGTTCTGAAAACCAGCTTGAGCCTAATAATCGCTCCTTTCTGTGGTCCAAAATGCTAGCTGGGCAATTGATTCTGTGCCCTGCGACAGCTTCCCCAAGCCACCACTTCCGTGAGGCAAGCCAATCTTCAGCAGCTGTTGGGTGTCAGGCAGCTTCGCAGGACCTGTGAGGCGTGTCTTGCAGTACCTAAGATGCCACGGCCAAGGCATCCTTATGCCTCTGGTGTTGGTCTTTCCATTGCCAGGCCCAGGCAAACGGCATAATTCTCCTCGAGTGGCAAACGGCTCCCTTCCCGTATTCTCTGCATCGCGCCGTTGTTCCGGATCATTGCCTCATTTGTTTTAGCGCTTTGCTAGTTCAAAGTCGTCTTGTTCCAGCTTTGACACGCCCCTTGCGTCTGAAGAACGAGGCACATGGACTTGGTCCTATGCGAGCAAGTCGCTGGAACAAACAGATATTACCCTGAGTCCGGAGGCATTCCTATCAACAGGGAACCCAACACGCCAAAAGGAAACCAGCACTGGATCCTGCAACCAAGAGTGCCAGATCGCCTATCGCACAGCGCGCCAGGCTCAAGAGGGACGTCTTGACCATCCTCTCGCCAGAGCCAGATAGGGGTTCGGACTCAGAGTCACTGGTGCCAAGCTTGGCGCTTCGGTCGGGAAGCCCCGTGCACCTGCCAGCCGGCTCCCGGACGTGGGACGCAAAGCCGGTCGATCGTTGCATTCCAAGAAGCTCGGAAAGCCCAAGACTGACAGCCTGACAGCCTGGTGCCCTGCTCAAGCCGACTCAGTTTTGGCTCTCCCCGTTTTGAGGCTGTGGACTCGCCTGCGGTGCCTGGACTGGGTGCCATGCAGCGCAGGATCTCTGGCCTTGTGACAGTTGCTTGTGCGGTTTCGCGCCGAGAAAAGCCATGTGCAAGACGGCCATCATTGATACTTTTGGATTGCGGGACCAGTCGGCCGCCATCGGCCACAACACACACAAGGCTTTATCGGTCCTAGTTGCACTTTTGCAGGCCGCCTGGCCATGTCGTTTCGTAGACTCGGCCAGGGATCACAGCAGCTCCAAATTTGCGGCTGGCTGCCTCGTATGTGTAGGTGTGTGTTCCTGCGGTACGGGGCGTTCGCGTGCTTTGACATGAAACTGAGCCAGAGATAACAGAACCAGTTGCCAGTTGCCCACAGTACCATGGCAACCTACGGAAGCTCGAGCCGTACCGGAGACATGGGCGAAATCACTCCACAACAACCAGCCTTTCTCCGGGCCTTGCCATAAACGGTGTGATTTCCTTGGGTACGCACCAACAGAGCAATGCGATGTGCGCCATGGACATTGCTCGCCACTTGCTACTTGCTCCTTTTGGCCCGGCTAGAGAAGTCGGCGTGGCGCACGTGAGACTCTCATGGCCCAAAATGGCCCTGACAGTTAATAAGCTATAAGTACTAGCAAAAGTTGCATGCGGATGGAAGTGACATCGATTTAAGAACTCGACTATTCCAGCGCCTGCGTCCAGGCGCTGGTGTCTTTCCGGTATGTCTTCTCGCGGGAGTTGATGAAGCTGTGAAGTGAGCGGCTGTGCAGGGCTATTTGCACCGAGCTGTCCACACCTGGAAAACCCACACTGGAAACAAACTGCGGAAGTACTCTCTCACACCGCCAGAAGCCCCCTCAAAGTCTTGACTGTTGTTAAAATCATGACACGCTGGACGTTGCCGCCGCCTTTCTCCGCAAAAAACGCTTGCGGTGGGTTTTTTTCGGGGGGCCCTCACAGCGGAGGCTCGGAGGTGCCAGGCCTTTGCTTTCGGACAGAGAGCCGAGTTCACGGGCGAGGTCTGGCCACGGATCAGGCGGGGCTTGAGGTGTTCAGCTGAAATGAGGTCGATAGGCCCGGCAAGGGGTTGCCAGCTTTCAAAAGGGGTCAACAGGAGGGGTCCAGGCCGAGGCTGTTGAAAATACCACCGTCAAGGTCAAGATGGGTGTTTCTCAAGAAAGGGAAAACTGTTTCGAGCTTCGGACCGCATTCCACTTGAACCTAATTACAGGAAAAGCAGGCGGGCGTTTCCCTCCCTCGACTGGGGGATCCTTTCGCGAGGCTAAGCCTTTTTGAGCTTCCAGCTATTGCCCCAAGAAGTTTTCCGTTGGTAAACTTCGTTCAGCAGACTTCCCCCAAAATCGGATTTGTTGGCGACCGATGCAATCCTCATGAGGGTGGCGAAGCTCTGGGATCAAGCACTCCGCTTGGCTGGGTTTGTCTCAAAATAGGAACCCCTTTTTGGTGTAGACATCAGTATAGGTCATATCCGGCACTACTTTTTGTCTTCTTATCCCATTTGGACGGTTTGCACATACTGTGTGGGAGGTGCGAGATGCGTGCTTTGCCACAGGATTTGGTACATGAAATCCACAACATGGAGGCTTGCGGAGAGTCTAGTCTAAAGTAATCTTTCCTTTGGGTTGTTTGGCGCCCTTTCTTTTGTTGCCCCTAAGAGTGATCAGTTGCCACCAAACAATCGCATGGTAGCTGAGCGGAACCTGGATCTTCCGGGAGCTTCCAGAGGAGCCGGCGGAGTAGCTGGCGGCCTGAGGAGGCCTGGCCAGGCAGAGGGAACTGGCTGGCAAGGTCTTTGAGGACATCAAGAGCCTTCGAGAGGCAGCGGAGCTACCGGATCGATGGAGAAGAAATCCTTGAGGATCCAGGCAGCGGAGGCCTGGGCTACAGTGGAGAAGCTGAAGGAGATCGTCCTGGTGGTCATGGTGGTGAACACGCCACTATTTCAGCGATGACCTGCGCGGCTAAAGTTCAGATGGGGCGCAGGGCAGACCATCCAGCGCAAGAACAAGAGCATCACCACGTGAACAAATGGGTGGCGGAGATCAAGCTCGACAGCCAAAGCGCCAAGGTGCGAGCGGAGATCCGCAAGCTGAGAGCTGCGCCTGGACAGCGAACCAACTCGACCTCAACACGCGGCAGTCGTCTTCGTAGTGTACTGTGGGGCGGCGGGGCGCAACAAATTGGCCAAAAAGGCCCCGGAAGAAGACGGCCATCCTTTGCTGGGCGGACATGTCACGCATGAACCGCCCGTTGAGTTTCTGCAGGGGGACAGCAGGCCGGTGGCTACATTGCAGTTTGCGCAGCGCAAAGGCGCCAAGGGTTACTCAGGCAAAACTGGGCCCGTGGAGCTGGACACCGACTAACCCCGAAAATTTCAAGGCCCGCTGGACGGGATCTTGGACAAGAAGACATGGGTGAGGGGGGTGGAACGGGTTGGGAGATCTGAGCGCCCTTGGCCCTCTTGGAGCCGAGGCGAATTACAGTCAGGCTTGCGGAGGGTCCCACGTGCACATGCAGCATAAAGTAGGAAAGCCGCGCCTCACCTTTGATCCTTTTTAGTTGCTTGGCACCCTTCCCTTGGTCGCCTCCAAGCGTAATAGGAATCAAGTGTTTTTAAGTAATTGGAGGAGGGAAACCGATTAGTCATGGCTTGTGGTCAGGTGCTCTTGGCTCCCGCCTTCAGCGCTCGTGGCCCTAGAGGCCCGATTTGATTATTGATCGATCAATTTCAGAACGGTTTCTGGCAAGGTTTTCTTTCCTTTCTTCGCCTACCCAGAGAAAGGCGGAAGAGGGTTTCGTTCTTCCCTCAAAAGGGTTAAAGTGGAATCGGTGTGAGCGTGTCACTTCTTGTGAAGGTGATGCAGCTGACGTGTTAATTTGACAAAGCGTGCACCGGCGGTTGTTCGGGGGGTTTCCACTCTCAAAGGCGAAAGTGCACAACCTCCCTTGCCAAAATGCGAAGGATCCTCAGCCGACTGACGGGCCATGGGCTCTAGCCACTTCACTCGTTCGCATAGAGGACCGAGACAGTTGTATTTTGCAAGCAATTAAAAAGACTCAGAAAAGCGAACCACCCCCAACCACTTTGTCAAAGTCTCACTATTTTCCTGCCTTGCGCCAGGCTTCTGCCACGCACCTGCAGACCTGCTGCAAACTTGCCCGCGGCAAGGGGCCATCGCTCATGTCTCGACGTCGATTGCCGCCCGTGGGTTGACGTGCCTGGGCAGGCAGTAAGTCTTGCCCTTGATGGAAATTAGGGTCTTGGGAGCCGCTATATGTGCAGCTGCTGAGTCAAAATATTCAAATGCTTAGCACACGTGGTTTAGCCCAAGCCACAAAGGTTGCCAGACATCTTGAACCCGACCTTGCACAGTAGTGATAAAGGTTTGTGTGACATTTATGACATGGGTTGCAACCATGGTCCCTTTCTCAGATCCCAGCGTTATGGCAGTAACACAAATACTCTGCTTTTGGCCTTGCATCACTGCAGGTAGCGCCCTCTTCACGGCGAGTTCAGGGGCGAGCACTTCGCACCTCCATCAGCTGATCGGGTGATGTGATGCAGGCGGCCAGGGTGGGGGCAGAGGTCGAGATTCGGACGTTGAGAGTTTTGAGTGGAAAGCAGCAGGCTTCGCCATGCGGTACCGACCGGGTTTGGGACCCTAAATTCTAATAAAATGGGCTATGTCTTGCCGAGCCCCTTACACCCCATGGCACGAGTCCTATGTCGTCACAGCAACCTTCTCCTTGGGTCCCAAGGAATCACCGTGACCCACCGGGCTCTTGGTCATCGGTTATTGCCAATGAAACCCCACGATCCTTTCCGAAAGGAACAAAGTGAAAGGTATTTTAGCATCGGCTAAACTTTACTTGGCCCGTTTTTAAACTTTACTTGGCCCGTGTTTTATCAGCGGATCAAAAGGAATGGAGAAGTGGCAGGATCTTTCAGTCGCCAACATATTTTGACACCCTGCTCACGAACTCGAGGCATTTAGCCCAGCTGGGTAGAAGGTTCTACTCCTTTCCAGGTATCTTTTGCAGCCATGAGCGGAATCATGATGCTCGAGGAAAGAGATGACAAACCACGTTTCGTGCTGTCATCCCGCCAAAAGCTGCATTTTAGGTTCTACTACATGCGGCACGCTCGCTTCTGCTCCCGGGCAGACAGGCTCGTTTGCTCTTCGCTGGTGGGAAGTGGCGGGGGAGTCCATGCACGGGAACCAAATTCATTGGATGCAGATAATGAGGTACAACAAACGTGCATTTGCTTAAGACTATGGGTATTTCTCCCGTTGGTTTCAAAAGCAATCTATCACTACTGGGAAAGGTTTTTCTTTTCAGAGAACGGGGTTCTACTTTCGGCGGCAAGCATCCCAAGGGTGGTGACTGTTTATCAAGATTGAGAATATGACCGCCCATGGTGAAATGCGTGGACCATGATTTAAAGTAGCGCAATGATAGTCCGCATGCAATGTGTGCGGAATCAAACGCAGCACACGGAATAGAAGGGTCAAATCGTCTCAAGGGCTGAGGTGACCCAAAAATGAACCCCTGGCGTGGTTCATTGGTAAACGGCAAACTACCCAGCAATCATGGCCTAATCATAGAACCCCCCCCCCTGGCAAAGGCGGTCAAAATGGTCATGGATTCGTTTCTGGGCCACGCAAGCCTTTGAGAACCGCAGGCGGGTGAAGAAATTGGGAGACAGTTCCGAGTCAGTACCAAGCTTGGGGTAAGCGACATTGTCAAAGCAACTTGGAAAGACATGGAATCCACTCAAGATCACTTCTCTCATGGGGGATTTTTCAGTTTGCCGTCGGCTTTGTCAGCGCATCCCGGGCTTGGCAGTTTGCTAGGCCTATGGTAGGTGCGCTGGGGCTGTCGCCTCCTTGCAGCCAGCGGTGAGGACATGTTGGAGTCTGAGTCCCACAAAGCCACGGGATGGATTAAGTGTGGTTCTTCGCGACCCTCTCCGTTTGCCACCCGGGACCGTGTGTCTCAGGAGGTAGTTGTCAGCTTCTTGAAGTGTGATAGATGCTCGTTGTGTGTTTTAAGCTTGGTTGCAGCTCTGATTTTCTCAGAATGTAAGCCATTCACTTGGGACAAAGTCAACCCGACGGCTGCCGCACTCGTGTCTCCTGCCTGATCCCTTGCGAAGCATATTGCTGCTCACGGCTTCGACAAAATTACTGGTACAAGGGCAACCCACCAACACGTTTCGTTTGTGGCGCTCCATCGAAAGCTAGCCGATGCAGCGTGCTCACATGTGCTACTCGTATCTCACGAGATGTGTCACTTTACCCGATTTAAAGAAACACAGAAGCCAACCATCGGCATTGCAAAAGCAAGAGCTGGGGTCCTTGTTGGGTCTGCGTTTGACTGAAACCGTGAGCAATCAAAAGGGTTTCAGGCCGGGCCTTGAGACGATATGACCATGATGTAGGTCCTGTACTCAGGTGTTGAAATTAATCAGCGGACACGCGTTGCCAGAAAGACGCTCCGTGAGACAGCTCACAGACAAGCGAGCACGATTTTACAATGATTTCCAAAATATGCAAGACCTGAACTTTTGTTGGAGTTTCCAAATTCACAAATCGTTCAACGTGATTCCCAGGAGCCGCGCCGCTTAGCCGCTTAGCCACTACCGCCGGCGCGGCGCGCCGCGCGTCCGTGAAGCGGCTGTCGTGCAGCCTTGTGAAGGCACCGCTGATGGACGCGGGGTTCCTGGTGCATGTTGGCAGGGCCCGAAAACTGGCGGTGTTCCTTTTGGTTTCCCTTGAAGCCGACCTTAAAAAGGGATATCCCTAAAGACACCCCCACCCACACACACACACACACACACGTGGGCGGTTCAGACCGAATTCTTGGGCAAGAAGGGAGCTTCCTCTAGGGTGGCACAGTGGAGATATCTAAAACCAAGAATGCGGGGTCTAAGGCAGCCCGAAAGAGACAGTCACAGGCTGAAGCTGCAGGCTGAGGGAGCAGGAGAGCACGATGTGCAATGAGAAAGACTGGCTTGGTTTTGTACAGCTGACATACATGTGAAAACAACCGGGTGTGAGGAACCTCCTTTAGGGTGGTGTGGTAGGAAATTGAGGGCGGAGGAAGAGTTTGACTCAACCTTGTTTTTCTTTTTCGTTTGGAGGAGTCCCAACCAAAACTGGGTCAACCGAAAACAAGGGGTTCTCCTTTTCTACCGAATCACTGGTGGAAAATTGGACAGTTGTCTTTCGTGCACAGAGACAACTGTGCTCTGATGATTGTGCGCAGACGAGCAGCGCGTTGTATCTGATTATCTAGTTTCAGTACCGGGACCTGTCATGAGCTTGCTTGTCAGCTGCCATGGTGGGAATCACACAACACATTCAACACATGCCCGTGGAGAAGCAGATCAGTTCTCCTCGGCCAAATGCATTCAGCCAATCTGGATCCTGCTTCGCGCAGGTGGGTTTGGGGGTAGGCTTGGGGTTTGTTCCGGTTTGGGTGGTTGTGGGTGGGATTAGGGCACGTTTTTGATTAGTTTGGGGTAAAATTCGGTCTGATTTAAATTCGTTTCCGGTGGGTTGAGGGTTGGGTTAGGGATGGTCTAGGGTGGGGTCAACATTGGGTCGGGGTGGGTCAAGAGTTGGTTTCAGGTGGAGGTCGTTTTGGTTAGTTTACGACTGATTTTGGGAGGTCTAGCGTATTCTCAGGTCAGTTTAAGGTGGATTTAGGGTAGTTGGTTAGATTCGGTTGGGGGTTAGGCTGGGTTTACGGTCTGTTTAGGGTTGGTTTGGGGTGGGCGTAAGCTTTTAGTTAAAGTTGGTTTTGGGTGGAGATTGCACGTTTTGGTTTGGTTTGGGTTGTTTCAGGGTGGGTTTAGTTTAGGGTGTGTCGGGTTGGTTTAGCGTGGGGTCGGGCTTGTTGTTGGGTGGGTTTTGGGTGGGTTTAGGGTTGATTTAGGGTGGCTTAAGGTTTGTGTTGGTTTAGTTGGAGTGTTTGCTTGAGCTACGTTTCGGTTGTTTTTTTTGTTTGGTGGTCGGGTTCGTTAGGGTTTGGAATGCGGGATTCGAGATTCGGGAATCAGGATGCGGCATTTGGGTGCTATTCGGGATTCAAGATTCGAATCCACGAGAGAAGCAAATCCCAATCCAACCATTTCGGGGGAAGTGATATTTGATGCAGTTTGAGCGCTCCGGCATTGCTACGCTTTCTTGAACTTGATCGGGCATTTGCATGGTTTTTGTCACTTGAACTTTGATACCAGCCAACACTGACTGGTTAGATTTGATATGTGCTGAACGGAAAACACTTCTTGTCAGGTGATGCAGCTGCCTGCTTCGGAGGTCCGGGGGTGGAAACAACGATGGCTTTGAATTAAATCAAGACGTGGGTTTGGGTTTTTGGGGCTGCGTACCCCTGTACCCATTGTCTTGAGCCCTTCCAGAATCCAAACCTAATGTTGGCTTGCCCAGCTCGAGCACCCTCAATGTTCCTGCTGTCCATGGGATCCTTGGGCTCAGTAGCACGCACCGACAAACCGCTGCGTGGTCCAATTTGAAACACCACATGCACACCAAGTGATGAGCACGCCCGTTCAAGAGCACCAAGTCAGCGCTTTTCACATGCTTGCCAAAGAACAAGCATGCCCGCTGAAGGCGCCAGCTCTACACTTTGCGTGCCCACCAAATAGTTTATCAGCACGCCCACTCAAGGCGCTCGCACAGCACTTCGCACATTCCAGCCGAAAAGCAAGCACAAACCGGCCGCTCAAGAGCACACACTCAGCACATGGCATATTCCCACCAAACAACGAGCATGACCGTTCATGAGCACCAGCTCAGCACTGCGCGCATGCCCGCCACCTTCTCAACAACACCAGCTCGGAACTTCACACGCGCCCCAAGCAATACACCCGCCCGCTCGGAGCGATGCGCAAATTCCGAGACAAGCAGTCAGGTCATCCCCTTTAGGATGGACCCATTGTCAATTTGAGTAGGGGGTTCTACCTGATTTCACGGGGGTTGAGCGCAGTTTTAAACCTTAAAGACAATCTTTGCAGAACACACACAACCAACCCTAAACCCCAACCCTAAACCAAGCCTAAATCAATGCTAAGCCACCCTAATCCCACCCTGAACCCACCCTAAAACAACCCTAAATCAGCCCCAAACACACCCTAAGCTAACCCCAAACCCACCGTCAACCAACCCTAAGCCAACCCCCAACCCTAAACCAACCCTATACCCACCCTAAACCAACCCTGAACCCCAGGGTCCACGGCCAGGAACATATATTACCTACATGGATTCTGTTGGACTTATGCAGTTGGGCGCTGAACCTGAGGGACTCTCCGAGCGCAGGTGTCTCTTTTGGATGCACCTGGCCCAAAGCGGTTTGCTCGCCGCTTGCCCCTCGCTGAGGCGGGAAAGGGAATCGGAGGCTGCGGCGCATTTCTTGTCACCTCGGGCTCTTCAAATCCGATCCGCAAGATACTTTGAGGGCTGGTTTCCCAATCGTTGGGTCATGTTTCGGGATTGGCCAATCATCCATTTTGTCCACCCCAGAGTACATCAGGCGGGCCAACACAGGGTTTACATACGGTCCTGTTATCACATGAACATGCGTCGATGTGCTGTGTGCCGCATCTGTTTGCGGGCTTTTTGTTCCAGCTACAGTTTTACCTGAGCTGTGAGCATTTGTTGGGGTGTGGGCACCCGTAAGTCATCGAAACGTTGGTGGAAGCTGGTCAGCCGTAGTGCCCTGTTGCCACAGCTTGTAGGTGACAAGAAATACTCTCCACACAAATCGCCCGTGTCGCCTTTCAGTCATTGTGCAACAACCAAGCCTGTCAATCACTTCTTTTTGAACAAGCCAGTCAAAAGCCCGTTTTGTTCCTCTCACAGGCCCCTCGCCCACAGCCCGCAGGCTGTGTCAGGATATTTGGTACGCCGCTGCTTGGTCTACACGTTCGGAGAGCCCGCAACGTCGAAAAGCACTCCTTGAGTTCAGTGGGACCCCGAGGGTGACTTGAGTCCGGCGAGAACGATTTCGGGTGATGGGAATCGATTGAGCTCAGACTCAAGACACGGGAGATTCCTTCCCTTGTCCTTTTAGGGTTAGTTTGGTTGAAATTAGATGGCACTGGTTTAGATGGGTTTTAATCCATTTACCAGGGCCATCTATTTCTCCAAAAGGCCGCCTATGATTCATTTGCCATGAATTCTATTTGCCCATGGCTTGCATCGTGATGCATGCACAGAAACGGCTTGCAAGCCGGCCGATCTGAACACGTGCAGCGCCGGCCCTCCCGTCTTCCACAGGTGAAGAGAACATGTGGAGGGTCAAGGTGAGCCAAGGTTACGTGGAAACATGCTTGTGGAAGTGTCCATGTAATTTAGCCTAAGTAGTTTGGGCACGTTGTGAGTCTGTTGAAGCCGTTCCTTTGCAGAAGCCTCCTTCATCCCATGCATGAAAGTGGACGAGTCATTTTCAAGCATGGCAAGACAATCTGCCACGGGAACGTCTTTGTGGTCTCTGACAGACAGATGGCTGACAACGCCCTGTGAATGTTGCATTGCCTTGCAAGCACCTGCACGTACGTGTTTCTTCATTGACCGCAACTCACTGGGCTGTTTGTCAGCATTTGCTTGCGCCCTCCAAAACAACACGGATGCTATCAAACACAGTAGACAAATTGCAAATAAGCAGTGGACGTGCGCAAGGGTGTTTAGGGCCCCCCCACGCCCCAGAAAGGTTCTCAGAACCCTTCTAAGAACCCTCTCCAAGAAGGCGGTAAGAATCTTTCTTAGGGGCGGGGTCTTGAAAATCCTCCCTATCCAGGGCCATGGGCGAGCTTTGCCCAGTGTTTGTTGAGGCATGGGTCGAGATCTCGATTCATTGCGTTCCTTAGGGCAGCAAGCAGATGCAGCGATAGCAGGGCAACATCAAGTTCGCAAAGCCAGCCGCTTCTGCATCTTGTGCGGTCCCTTTGCTTCAACTGCTCAGCGGCGCAGCAGACGTACGGCGGCTGGCCATTTGAAAGAGGCCCGCAGAGTTTGTTTTCGGAGTGATCGATAACACTTGCGATCCAATCAGATTCTTTCGGTACCAGTAGGGTGCACTGCCTCTTTGCCAAAGGGGGTGCGGCGAGATGCTGGCCCTTGATCTCACGCAGAAGCCTGCATTCGCAGCGGCGGCGATGTCATCACTTGTGTGGGTGCTCGAGAGACATCACTTATCCTAGTGTCACTTCTGGAGGTGAAGGCAACTTAGCTTCACGTGCATCCAGGGACGATTTGCCCTGCGAATCTGCCTGACGCGCGTTCGTTTTTTGCAAACCTGTTTGCCATGCGGCCATCCATGCTTTCAATGAAATCTCGATTGCCAAAGCCTTGCCGCGCATCCACCTCCATTGTATGCGTGTGTTTTTCAGCCAGAAATGAGCACTGCTCTTGGTACTCAACGGAATATGACGCGCCGCAACTTGTCCAGTTTGGCCGCCTCTTGGTGGTCATTGTCCTTCTCCATTTGGCAGCATCTCCCACGGCTCTGCAAAGAGAGTTTGGTTCGCGAGCGGCAGCGGCTGAGAACTTGTAATGTCTGGCAGACAGATCTTTGGGATGTCGGCCCTGCCAGAGGCTGACAGCGGGCTGTGAGCGCGTTTCCAGTCACGCGCCCTGTTGAAGCGCATGTGGCGAACGCGTGCGGCTCGAAGAAAGGCCATGCGATGCCCCTATGCGCGTCCTCTTTGAGAGGCGGAGCTCGGACGAATTGAAAGCGCTTCGGTCATAAATCCCATTGAAGGCCAAGGTCCTTGCTCCGAGCATCATACTGACGCTGGCTTCCTGCGTAATATTCCAAATTCGGAGCCGGCTGAGCAAATAGCCATGCATACTGCGCGCTTCCATGCGAATTCAGTCGAGGCTTCGTTTTGAAAACCCTCGTTACCCAGGCTTGAGCATTACCAAATCGAAGCACGGATGCGACTTGGCTGGAGGCGGCTTGGCAAGATGCGATGTGACTCAGCCCATAGCTTAAACATAAAGCTCACAGTGGAAGGCACTGGAGTTTGTATCAGCTCTAAGATTTGTGAATCGATGCTCTGAAGTGTCAGTATACACTTCAAATGATCGGCATCACTCTGGGCCAACTCATGTCCCCTCCAGAATCATCCCGCTCCATCCTTCATGGATCTCTGAATTCAGGTAGACAAGGCCTTCCATGAGGTCCTGCTATTTTTTGGCCTCCCGCAAGTTCGACTCCAAAGCCCCGGACGCAGACTTTCCATGAGTCGACACGCTGGGTCCGAACAGTCGACCTCTGGTGACGCTTAGAGCTTGGTTGGGTACCATCTTATGTCGTTGCAATTTACTAAAATCCATGATGCTGGTAAAGAGTTGAATCCTGAGTTTATGGCTGCGCGTTGACCAAGAAATCGTGAACCGAAAGCGAGAAGCCGTTACATCCCAAAATTGACGGCCAAAAAGGCGGCAAGACAGCCAAGGCGGAATCTTCAGTGCACTTTGCCTGAACTTAGTCAGTGCAAATCGGTATCTGCCAATTTGATGGAAGCTCACCTGGAGGTCAAACAAGCCCCTGATGAAGGGCCTTTACTTGGGGAATGTTAGCAAAACTGAAAGCTGTATATATAATAACATGAAGCTTTGTAGGTGGTGAGTGAAGCTTCTTGCGGCTGCCTGTTTTTCCAATGTGGAGATGGCTTCGGAGCATGCGGGGCGGTACACACTCCGCAAATGGGGGTGCTTGCTAGTAGCTTAGATCATGCACACCAAATTCAGCTGGCATTCCACCTCGTTGCTGGTCTTGTGACCAAATCGTTTTGGAAACCAATGGCTTTTCCGCTACACCTAGAAAAGGTGATCGACATGTTGCGGGACTCCGACTGCCTCAGCCCTGATGATGCCTCGGATGGGTGGTGCATGGCCGCGACACTGACTTTTTGACTTGCAAGATCCCACCTGCGAGGTGAGGGTGTCCAAAAAGACACTGGCTGTTGCGGAAAGGTAGCGAGCCGCAGAGAGTTAGCAGTTTTGTGCGGGAAGTGCGGATGTTGTGTGCTTCAAGTCCCAGCCCCCACACAGCCTGGAGGGCGATGAGAAGGTAACGGTCATGTGGGTTGGTCCAAAGGTCCGGATGAGCAAACACTGGAAAGTAGCTGCCCCGAAGGCTGTGAGTTCGACGCAAGCGCTTCCACTAGTCCGTTTTCTCGCCAAGGGCATGGCGAGTCTGCGCATGGCTTGCCTGAGCTGATGGCCACAGGGCCTTGAGTGTGGAGCCAGCCAGGGGCACGCTGGATGGGAGCTGATTGAGCTGCTTGAGGTGCCAACTTGATGGGGCACATCGAGGCCAGTCGCTTGTGAGGGCGCGGAAGGCCGGATCAGCATTCACTTGACGACACGGCGAGACAAAGAGCCGAGCGCAGGAACGGCAGCCTCTTTGTTCTGATATATCATCACCCTCTCATGGCCATTTGCCCCAGAAAAATGCCCAGATGCAACCTATCAAGCTCCAGCCAAAAAGTCAGAAGCGTTGCAAGCGAAAGCATTCAGGATGTCGCAATATGTCGCCAGGGTCTCACTCATTTTTGGCAGACAACCTTGCCTGCCCTTGACAGAGCTCGTGCAATATGTGTCTTTTGCACGCGCCGAGCACTTTGCGCAAATCAAAGCTCGTGCATTTGAAGTCGCCATTTTGCTGGTTCCCTCGGGCCCAAGATGAGTTTGGATCGGTTTGCTCCGGGCAAAAGGCAGCTTCGGTGTCAGCGAACTGCTGCCAAGCTGTACGGGGCTGGGACTTGGCTCAAAGGCTGGCCTTCAGAGCCTTTCAAGTTGCGATTGTGTTTTTGCCGCTCTTAGCTCACCAAAAAAACAGGCGCCGCGTGAATTCCCCGTGCATCCCCAATGCATTTGGGTCTCGTTGCGGCGCTCAATGCTTGAAGCCGCCAATGTGCCAAGGACATGTGCCTATGCATGGCTTCTTGACAGGTGGCACTCATCACTGGATGCGAAAGCCTGATCAACCACGCGTCTTGCGACTTTTGCTCTGAACCTGCATCGCCGAGCATGTAAACATGCCAGGCGCATTGTGAAATCTAAAACATACCCAACCAAGTCTGCACATACTTGGCAAAAGGCAAGGTCCATACGTCTCCGAAACGCATCTCCTGAGCCTCGTACATTTGCTGGCAAGAACAAAAAGTTTAGGTCTTTGCTATCGTGGATGGCTGCAAGCCAGAGCAATATCAAACTACGACTTGCCGGTACCCCGGGACAAAAAAGGAAGACGGAAGACTCAACAACAAACAGAATGCTAGACACATAGTGTGTCACGCATCAACGATTCCGGGAATTCTCAAGAATGCCGTGTGTCTAGCACACAACAGAGGTCAAGACGTGTCACAGCTGTTCAGTCAGCTCCCGTTGTAATTTGTTGGGCATCAAGTACTTCAGCTAGGTCTTGAGACAGAAGCTGGTGCTTGGCCGTAGCTTGGATTCTTGCCTATGGCAAATGGCATGCTGGTCTGGCCGAGGAAGCTCGGACGTTCTGACAGGTTGCACGTTGAAATCAGAGCGTTGGGAGAAGTCAAGGCAACATAGGCATCCATCGCATGAAAGATGCTGGCCAATACATAGACATATTGTCCAGCACAGTGCTGGGCTGTTCGCTTTTCGCTTTGGGCAGCCGATGAAGTGTGGTTATAAAAGGTAATGTTATGCTAACTTAGAGGCCCATTTCGCACAGAGTCAAGTGCAGGGAGAAGGGTTTGATATGGGGACTTCTCCGCTTCGTGGCTCTTCACTTCGCAGCCTAAAGCTGGTCCCAGTGTGAAGTTTACAGAAGAACGTGCCTTCGGCATCCAGGAAGCGCAGGGCATTTAGTGCTGAGTAGCACGCATCACGACACTTGAAGTGGTCCTCAGTCGACCGTCTAAGCTTGCCCAGTCGAAATTCCTGTGGCAAGCAATGCCATGGGGCCCATACACCTGTATGCATGGTCACCTGGCGTCCGAAAACCTCCGCGTACATGTTTAGTAAGAGTCATTTCGCATCGACCTGTGCATCAGCAAAAACTCCACGCGCGTTCACGGAGGTTCACCAAGGGAACGCGGCGAGAAGGGCGGAGCTTGGATCACTTCATATTGCATGGAGAAGCTCCGAAGGAATGACTCGCAAAGGATTCGCAAGCGCGCTCTTTTTCTCCGAGGCAAGAAAAGCGGGCCACAATCGGCACCCCCCAGCCAATTCAATGTGAAAACACAAAGGGTAAGGTGGCGCAAGCTGGTGGCGTAAGCAAGACCTCCAGCTGACTCCACATGTGTGTCGCGAAAGCAAAACTCCACACGCGTAAGGTGGCGTAAGTTGGTGGCGTAAGCAAGATGAATCATAGCACGTTTAAAAGTTTAGGACATGGCTCACCTTGCTTTTGTGCCGAGCAACACGTAGATATTCTCGCGGTCTCTCTTGACAGCCACCTCACCTCGACATGCTGCTGTCCTCGTTCCAAATTCCACTGCCGTCGACTCGCGATTTGATGCTCAGATGGCATGTGTCTTAGCCGCTGAGTTCTGAGGCTTGAATCCCATATGGTCCCCGGCAGGTTGCGATCATCGGCTTTGGCCCACTGCTTGCTAGGTTGAGGGATGACGAGTTGCTTTGACGGAAAGGCGTCACACATCGTGCAACATGCCCAGCAACTGCAATTAGCAGTCTCCCTGAGGCATGCCAGTCGTGTCGATGGTGTTTGAAATCAGCTATGAGCCATGACACTCGAAGACTGGTTTTGTAGCTGGAGCAGATGTTGCCCACCCAAACGCTGCTGGGCTGTTGTAAAATGTAGCGGCAAGGCTGTGTTGGAACCATCCCGTGTGTTGATTTGATTTGGAGGCGCAGTTTGGGTTCTTGGCAAGCAAAGGGCCGCCTTCAGATATTTCAGCACTCAATCAGCTCACATGGTCTCTCAGCTGCACGACATATGCAGGACTCCTGTCTTTGGCTAGAAAAAAGCAGGCAGGATGTTGCAACACTGAGCAGGCACAACTACCACAAGTTGTGCCCCTCAACTGCATATGCTGTGTGTGCAACCAGGCCACCAGGCAGACCACCAGCCACGTGCTTGCGCGTGATGTGTACGCCCCCAAAGCAGCAGTGGACAATTGCCTGCGTGTCCAGGGCTTTTTAGCGGTGCGGGCTGGCACGTGTCAAGGCCTCTGCCCTTTGGCCTGATCCGGGCTGGCTGATTCCATAATTCCAGTTCATATGTCGATTCATTAATGATTTATCCATGCATAAATGTACATACAAATTACTTATATTTATGTATATTAATACTAAATATGGATATTTTTAATGATTAAATATTATTGATATAATATATATTTATATGGATTAGGATTTTGAATATAAATGATAGATATAACTAAATATATATATATATAATGATTTTAAAAAACATAAAATAATATGTTTGGAAAAATAATGAATTGAAAGGAAAATAAAAGGAGTTTGAAAGTTGCAGATTTGCTTTGTGGGAATATGGAAGTATGTTATTTTTGTGGTAGAAGTGTATTAGTTAGATTTTTATTTTATAATAATATTTATTATATGTTAAATAATAATAATATATTTTAATATTTGGGAGTTTGTTTTAAAGGTCTTTGTAAGGAGTTTAGTATTCGGCGACCATTGGTGTTGGTTGAGGTAGCTCCGCGAAATATTTGTAAATTAATATTATGAGAAACCATATTTCTTTTTTGTTGAATTTTCTTTTTAAATTGATTAAAACATTTTTTTTTTTGTCTTTTGATACAGTTTGGTGATGTTCTTTGTTTTGTTGGTTAATGTTTTAGGTATATGGGTGTTGGTCGGAGGTTTTAGATATATAAATGATATTTTACGAAAAATTCGCGAAAGTCTATATGAAAGCATAGGCTTCGACTACAAGGGGAGGTATTTTTTGAATGTCGTGCTAGTTGGAGTATTTCGCTTGGTACTGAAAATTTGCAATTTTAAGTTGGGGCTGCGCGACTTTCGTGCTGGAATTACGGAAGTGCATTTCGTGTACTGGTGCTGAAAAGTTGCGAATTTCTAGCTGGAGTCGCGGAAGCGTATGTTATATATTACCCTTGTGATGAAAAGCTATGACTTTATTTCGTGTACAAAATCGATATTTAAAAGCTACGTTTCCCGACTTGAGCAATGAAAAGTGCACGGCGATGAATCCATGAAAGATTCGCGAAAATATGTTGTTTATTCATGAAGAATGACCGTTTCGAGATAAAGGAATTTACAATAACCATCATTTATTGTAGTTTTTAATATATTTTAGAAATATATAATTTTAAAAAATATTTTAAAATTTGATATTATATTGCCAAATAAATAACACAAATACATAATCATAAACAAAATGATATAAAAAATAGAAAGAAATACGGATATATAAAAAAATATGAAAATAATCCGAGAAATAGAAATTATAAAAAAAGAAAGAAACACATAAATACCCCAAAAAACAAATTAAAATACACAAAAATAAATAGAGAAAACAGAAATGGATATAAATACATAAAAACAAATTGGAAAATATACAAAGAGGCAAAGATACGGGATGCCGTCGCGAAATTTTCGAGAAATTTCGATTCGGATATATTCCAAAATTTCCTCGAACTTTAATATACTAAAAACAATATTTTCCAAAAAATTGTAAATTCTAAAGACATTTGCAAGAGTAACGTCCGGAAATCTAAGAGTCGTATTGTCGGAAACGACCCGTGAGAATTTTAAGCAAAATTATTAAAAATCTTCGAAAGTTCGAAACGAGGTCTTTTGAACCGCATGAAGAATTGGAAATTGGTGTCGCAAAAAGAAAAGATCGACTTACTACAAACACTATTTTTCGGCAAGAGTACCGCTACAACGATTTAATAATATATAAAAAAAATCCTTTTCGAAACCATACCGATTTCTAAAAAAACCAAAAATATTAATTCCATCAATAACAATACCAATAAAAAAAAATCAATTAAAGATTAATAATAATAAAAAAAAATAAAAAAATAAAAAGAAATATCAAACAATAACAAAAAACAACGAGAAAAAAAAAAGAAAGAAAGAACCAAAAAACAAAACAAAATAAAAGAAATAATGAAAAAGAAGAAAAAAAGGAAGGAAACAAATAAAGAAACACAATAACACCAACAATCAGAAATAAAACAAAAACAAAACGAAAAGAAGAAAACGGAGCTTAAAAGGAGGGGATACGGCACGTAACAATATAGAAATATACCATTTTTATAAATTAATTTGCAAAACCAAATAAAAAAAAATAAAACAAATAAAACATTACCAAATAAACAAATATAAATATATGAAAATAAATAAAAAAAATACAAAAAAAACAAAGATGGACGACGATAACGAACACATAGAGACAAACAAAAACAAACCGAAAAATAAACCGAAAAATTAAAAAAAATTAAAAAATAAAAATAAAAATAAAAACTATCAAATACCAATTAGCAAAATCCAAAAATATACAAAAACAAATAAATCAAAAAATACAAATTATCGAAATAAAGAAATACAACTATATAAAAACCAATTAAAAAATACAATAATTTCAACAATCAAAACCAAAACAAACAGAAGAAAACGGAGCTTAAAAACAAGAAATACGACATACAATAATATGAAAATATACCATTTTTAATAAATCGATTTGCAAGAACAAATATAAATAAATAAACAAATAAATATATTATCAAACTAAATATAAACACATAAAAATAAATAAGAAATACAAAAACACAAAAACAAACAACAAATACGAACATATAAAAACAAACAAAAAAAACAACCCAAACAATAAAAAACATACAAATAAACAAATAAAAACAAAAAACTATCAAACACCAAAAACAAACAAATTAAAAAAAACAAACATATACAAAATTAAATAAAACAAAATACAAATCACCAAAATAAATATACAAAAACAAATTTAAAAAAACACAAACAACAACAAAAAATATAAAAACACCCGACAAACAACAAAAAAACATCAATTATTTTTTTCCAAATACTCACTATTAATTAAACAATAAAAACAAACACTTATGCCACGGAGCAAAAACAAAAACAACCAAACATAACCATTCGTTACAATCATTATAATTCGACCACACCAATTTATAAAATATATATATAAATAAATTAAAATACTAATATAAAAATCCAAAACCAATTTATATAAAATATATCATTAACCAATAAATACATCATTATTAAAAATAATATACAAAATATATATTATATATAAAATAATTCATTATTATTACAATTTATATAAAACAAATATTTAATTCACAAAAAAAAAAAAAAAAGAAAGAAAAAAAACAGAAGGAAAAAAAAAGAAAGAAAAGAAAGAGAAAGAGAGAGAGAAAATATTATACATTTTGGAACCTAATTTATAAAATTTGCTAAAGGATCAAAAATCAGACCTATCTACTCTAAGAATTAACTTACAAGGAAAAGCTTCGATTAAAAGGTTAGAAATTTTTCAAAAGAAATAAATAACAAAATCTACCATTATACAAAACAAATTTATCCGAAATAATAAATTTTGCAAAACTTAACTTAAAACATTCAAAACATAATAAATTTATAAAATTTAGTAAGCTAATTCCGATCAAATTTCCGTATAAACCAATTTCCCAAAAAACAAATTATAAAATTTATAATACTAAACCTAAATTTAATAATTATATATTTACAAATTAATTTCCTTTTTTATCGAATTAATTATTCTAAATCATTTTTTAATTACAATTTTTACAAAACCAATTTATGAAATTCATATTCTTAAACCAAATATTTCTAAAAAATCATAAACTTTACAAATTACTTTGTGAAATTTGTAATACCAAACTTTATAAATATTACAAATTCAATTAACAACTTTGTAAGCTTTATAATTTAATAAAATCTAGGAAATTAAGAGTAAATATTCTTAAAATTTTAAAACCGATATAAATTAGTTTACAATGTTAGACTACTTAGTTTTTCTACAATTTACAAATGTTACATAATAATTTGTAAAGAATAAAGGAAAGAAAAAAAGAAAGAGAAAAAAAGATAAAGAAAGAAAGAGAGAGATCCATGGCAGGAGGAGTTGCTGCTAGCGGAGATGCGAAATGGAGGCAATGGCTCCCCAAGGGTGCGGCCCCCGGGAGAGACCAGCCGATGCCCCAACAGGACCTACAAGCTGTCCCTCATCCTGTGGGCGATAAAGCGGCACCAAGGAGAGAGAGAAAGAGAAAGAGAGAAAGAGAGAAAGAGAGAAAGAGAGAAAGAGAGAAAGAGAGAAAGAGAGAAAGAGAGAAAGAGAGAAAGAGAGAAAGAGAGAAAGAGAGAAAGAGAGAAAGAGAGAGAGAGAAAGAGAGAAAGAGAGAAAGAGAGAAAGAGAGAAAGAGAGAAAGAGAGAAAGAGAGAAAGAGAGAAAGAGAGAAAGAGAGAGAGAGAGAGAGAGAAAAAAAAAAGAGAGAGAGAGAGAAATAACATTTTGAAGCAACTTCCGTGCGACGGCAACTACTTGAAAGTTAGCTCTCGGAGACAGATGAGAAGAGAAGAGCGCATGGGAAAACAGCGCACGCGTGTGGTGGGGGAATGGAAATGCTACACAGTGCAACTCTTTCCAGGGTTTTGGCGCTTTGGGATGCTCAAAAGTTAGCCTGATCCCGACGCCTGGTCGGAGCAGGCTCGGAGCAGCCTCGGGCGGGCCTACGACACGGAGATAGATAGACAGACAGAGAGAGAGAGAGAGAGATGGATAGATAGATACATAGATAGATCGAGAGACATAGAGAGCGAGAGAGAGAGATAGGTGAAGATAGAGGTGCAAGGTAGATGGATGGGTAGATAGAGAGATAGACAGCTTGAGAGAGGATGGATAGATGCATAAATAGATCAAGAGATGTTGAGAGAGCGAGAGATGGATGGCTGGATAAGTAGATAGACAAGCAAACAAGTAGATAGGTAAATAGACTCGAAGAGATGAGAAGAGAACCCAAAAACGGATGAGAAAAAAAGGGACAGCGAACGACGACACATCGCAAGAAGAGACAGCGAAAGAAGAAAAGAAAGAGAAAGAAAACTATTTTACGTCGGTGAAACTTCTGCCCACCGGCTTTGCCGGCTCTACCGGTATATGAGCCGGCTTGAAGAACGAAGTAAATTTGCTGGACACAAGCACCACACCCAGCGCAAAACTTCAGAGTTTCGACTCCGAAG